TACTGGATGAGAGGCCCTTCTCTGATACCACTTGTAATGCCCGACCGCTTCAAGAATCAATGACTATCCCCGCATACTAACACGAGACTTTTCAGTGTGCTTTTTCCTCACTCGCACACTTCTCGGGAAAACTTCTCAGGAGGTCACCCATCCCAGAATTGCTCCAAGTCAAGCACGCTTAACTGTGGAGTTCTTCCGATTCGGGGTACCGAAAAGCAGATGCATCTTGTTAGCATAGATAGTACCAATTAATTCTTATAAGCTATCCCAAATTGTGCAGCCTTATACCTGCACAGCCTTTGGAATCCTTCTCTTTCAGGTGTCGATTCGATTCATTCATGCATGTAACCCCACGCTTGAAGCCTGTCAGGAGTCGCTCCTTGTCCGTGCCTCTTTGCACCGGCGATCACTCTCCGCCCTCGTCAGCGCTCGAGATGTTACAGTGTGGTTTGTGTAAAAAGAAAGACGACTCCTAGCTCCATGCAATGAAACACTGTGACAATGTGCACCTCCTGTGGACCAGGCTACAGGCGACAAGGTATTGTTAGCATTTTTTTGTTCTACAAGATCATGAGTGAATTATGTTTAATTTGTGTATTGATAGAGTAGATAGCAGGGGTGTGCCATGGAATATCATTTTTGCTACTACTATTAGGTGCACCTGGAAATGGAGAAATGAGATAATTCATGGTTCAGAGACCTTGTATAATGAATATAATCATTGTTTAATTTTAGAACAGGCAGCTGAAATTTAGTCTGTTGTAAATAAAAGTAGCACTACCAACCAAAACATCAGGTGTAAAGAGACTTTAATTGCTTGGCAATTTTCGGAGGTAGGGTGGGTGAAAATTAATACGGATGGTTAGGGGTGTGCAAAAAAACTGGTTCAGTTGCGCTGCCATTGATTTGACCTATAAATACTTATTTTTTTGAACTGGGTTTAAATATTGAACCACTTATATTTGAGTCAATTTTAGACTTGACTTATTTTAATAATTGACCCATTGACCCAAAACTTGACCCAGACCCATTTTGTGAAAAAAAAAGAAAACCAAAAATCACGGTAAGGCAATTTGGGGCTTAGGTTCTCTCTTCTCCCGTTAAGAATGGAAACAAGCTTGTTGAGGTGTTGGAATACGAGCCAACGTAACTTGCGTGTTCTAAATTTTAGTAGTACTATCACAGATATGGTAGAGAGGGAAATTGGATCATATCATGTAGGGGTGTAAATGGGCTGGGCTGGGCTGGGCTTTGGCCATTCTGACCCAAGCCTACGTCAAAAAAAAGTCAGCCTATCTGGCCTATTGGCCTATTAAAGGCTTTATTTGTAGGCCAAGCCCGGCCCATTTTCAAAAATAAGAAAGCCTGACATGGCCTACAGGCCTTGTAGGCCTCCCACTATATATACTAAACAAAAAAAATAAATGTATAGAGCAAAGAAAGTTCCATTCATGCATACACTAGTACTTCTCATAAGAAAAAAATGACAAACAAGAAAGAGTCAACATAATACCTCAGCTCTAGAATGTATATCATAGAGGAATAGAGTCGAAGAAATGGGAAAAATAAGAAAAATACAATTACTGGATGCTGAAATAAAGTCTACAAGAGAATGTCATTCATCTAAAAATCTTTAAACCACCATCAAGACAAGGGAAAGAAGATTATTATTGAAAGATCTTCATCAGTAACATCATAATACAGCAAGGTACCCATTGTTCCATCGTATTAAGCTGCAACAGCATGTAAAATTTGGAGACATTATACAAGTTTGTCTTTCACAAAATAAAATAGCACAAAAAGTAAGAGATTTTGGTATTTGGTACTTTGTGTCTTTGCCACATAAAATAATAATAATATATATTTTATTTTAATAAATTAAATAGGCCAGCCTACAAGGCTGTAGGCCGGGCTTGACAAAATTGGCCTATGGCCTATTTATTAAAAAAGCTTTTTTATAAGCCTAAGCCTACTCTACTTTCCTGAAAGGCTAGGCCTGAGTTGGGCTCAATGTAGGCCGAGCCGTAGGCTAGGCTGGGCCAGCCTGGCCCATTTACACCCCTAATATCATGTGAGTGATTGGAGGTCAATGTGAAAATATATCTGTGATCCAGTGACTTTGAATCCAAAAGAAATTATAAATTCACAGGCTTTGATTTTGATGCAACATGAAATAGGATAATATTTATTCTGTGTACTTGAAGATTTTATGTGCTATAAGCCTCCAAGATTCCATGGGATAATCAAGAAATGAGATAGATTGCAGACGCTAATGTTGATTAAATAAGAGTTAGTCATACTACAGAAATTGTTCGTAAATATCTGTTAATTTTAATTTCTTACATTGAGTAAATGGAATCCTTACGCTGATATTTTATGGAATAATTTTATGTTTGGATTGTTTTTTTAATTTATCATCAATTTGGAGCTTTTTGGTGATCCAATAAAATCATGATAATTGCTAATTGCAAATATCAATTATGAGTTAGAATGAGCTACCCATGACACTGATTAGTACCATGGAATATTAATATTATCACTTTTTTTGAAGAATTGATATTTATTCAACAAATATCAAATTTATTATATAGTTTATATATTTTAAAACAAATAAATAATTAAATTACTTGAGTTTAAAAATTAAATCAATGAGGCTAAGTCATGAGGCTAAGCCCGTTTGGTCTCATTTTGTGCCTTCGGACAAGTTTGCAAACTTCTTCTTTGGTGATGTTGATCATTGGTTATCGGTTAATATGGAGATGGATAAGCATGGGATTACGAATGGTTGGAGGAATTTGTTTTTTGTTTTTTTGTTGGAAAAATTGGAAGTGGCGTAATGATTTGGTGCATGGCTCGGCTTTTCCTTGCTTAAATGTGAGGAAAGAGATTATTTGCAGCTCTGTGAGGGACTTTAACAATGCTTTAGCTAGTGCTCAGGAGAGGCTTCCAGTAAAGTTTTCAATGAAGATGGACATTACTTGGCAATATCCAACAGATGGGTCAGTAAAAATTAACATAGATGGTGCAGCTAGAGGTAATCCTGGCCTAGCTGCTTGTGGGGGTTTGATTCATAATTCTCAAGGGAGATGGCTGGGGGGTTTTGCTCTTCTTTTAAGGCTGAGCTCTGGGGTATTCTTCGTGGTTTGGAGCTAGCTTGGAACGAAGGATTTCGTAATATAATCATTGAGAGTGATTCATCTAGTGTGATCACTGTGCTCACCAAGTCTGGTGTAGCAGTCCGTGAGTGTCATCTGATTGCTCGTATACGGACATGGATCAATAGGAGTTGGTCAGTTACTTTGATGCATACTTATAGAGAAGGAAACGTCTGTGCTGATTGGTTGACGAATTTTATTCTGGATTCAGATGATTCCATTACTTATCAGTTTTGGAGGGATCCTCCTCCTGGCATTCTTCATCTTCTCCGTGGTGACTTTACTGGTGTCAGTAGGTCCAGGGAAGTGAGGTGTAGGATTTAGTTTTGGTTTTGGTTGTCTTTGTTGTTCTTTTGGCTTAGGCCTTCTGTTTACCAAAAAAAAGTAAAAAAAATTAAATCAATAACTATAAAAAAATCAAATAAAAAATAAGTTTTGAAACCAAGTCAAAAGTGGGTCAGGTCGGATTTGATCTGATTTTGAAACCAAGTCAAACTCACTTCAGAAACCAAATCAAGTCAGATTTGATCCAGTTCTGAACCAATTCAAAAAAAAATTAAATCAGATCAAACCTGTCTTGGATCAAATTAAACTGGGTCGGGTCAAAATACTTGACCTATAAAATCAAGTTGGGTCGAGTTGGCACAAAACCCCGACATGACCTGACCCATGCACGACCCTACGAATGTGCTGCTAAGGGGAACCCAGGTCTGGTAGCGTGTGGAGGGCTGATCAGAGACTACTCTGGCCAATAGTTAAAGGGATTCTCTTGCCGTGTTGGTTATTGTAATGCTATTGTCATGGGGGATATTAAAGGGCGTCTAGATAGTTTGAGAAGAAGGATGGAGGTGAGTGATTATTGAAAGTGACTCAAAGACTGCGGTCACATGGCTCACCACAGCTAGTGAGCCTGCTTGTGAGTCTCATATTGTGACTTGTATATGGGCTTAGATGGATATAGATTGGGTTGTGAAGATCAATCACATTTACAGAAAAGGCAATTTTTGTGTAGATTGGTTATCAAATTTCCCCCTTGTTAATCAAGATCAAGAAGACTTATGTGTCTTTTCACCCGCCTCCCTTTTGTTGTATTTAGCTGATTTAGGTAGTGTTAGTAGGCTACATTTTATTTCTTCAGTTTAGCCTGCGTGGGGGGTTTATCCCGTTCAGGATACCAAAAAAAAATAACAATGATTATGTGTATAAAAAACAAATTATTATTTTTATATTAAAAATAAGTTTTATTTATAAAAATCACAAACAAGTTTTAACTAAGGGTTTGGGATTTGTTCTTTTAAAAAATGTAGAATTATGTCATTTTAAATAAAAGAAAAAGATACATAATGAAAATTAATTTTAATATATATATATATATTTAATTTAATAATAATTTTTTATTTTAATTTTAATTTTAAATAAACAAATTAATTTTAACTAAAATAATTGTACTTCGAAAGGAGAGTATTTTTTCCTTTAACCAATCCCAAAAATGGGCCAGGCACACTTTCGGATGTGGAAGGGAATAATAAAGAAATTCAACTTCCTCACGTGGAAACAAACAGCGTTAGACGCCAATCAACATGCAACGATCTCATCCTTTCCACTCAAACTCCCTAAGCACCCACCACACACCATAAAGTACATCTTCATGCTTGCATTTTGCCCCTTCTCCTATTTTATAATGTCGATATTACCACTCATATTCCTTCCTCTACCCTCCATAGAATTGCTTGTCTTGTTGACGAGAAGACCTTGTTTCGGGAATTCACAAGGCTGATCCTTAATTTGATTAACGTAGTTTGGAAATTGAATTGAGGTTCAGGTTCCAACTCTATCCTCCTTATTCCGAAATTTGTTCGGTTCAGCGTTGAAGACTTGAAGTCATTAATAATGAAGGAAGAAAAAAAAAAAAACAGTTCCTAGGGATAAAAAGTACCATTCCCTCTCACCTTCACCCCTTGCCCTGAAAAAAATGTAAAAGAAATCTACAAATATAAAAGATGACCTTGAGCCTATACTATAAGTTCATAACTGACTCAATCTGTTTTCTTTCTTTTTCTACTTCACCATTAACTGTGAGATAGAGAAATTATAGTGAGCTAGAAATCTGTCCCTGCCATGGTGGATCGTGGTCAAGAGAAAACTATACCAGCTGCTATTGACTTATCTCTGAAGAAGAAGGAGCTTCTTTCTAGTGCCATGAAGAGAACAAGTGAATGGTATGCTTCTGTTCTTCTGAAACTAATGCTTTGGTTTCTGTTATATATGTATGTCAAATGTACCTAACCTGCTTCTCTTGTGTACATTTGCTCCCTTTAATTTCTTGGATAGAAGAATGACTGAAAACTACTTAATTACAGGATTTTTTCTCAGGAGATTCCAAGTGATGTCAATATTCGAGTTGGAGAAGCTTCCTTTTCTTTACATAAGGTAGTTAACTAATTCAGACACGGACTCTTGGCTGAACATATCAAACTTATTAATCTGAGAATCATTTAAGTGCTGAGTAACGATTTCTCATTCTTGTTGGTTTTCATTTTCAATCAACTGTTCACTGGTTACATGCTTTATTTATTTATTTATTTATTTGTTTACCACTTTTTTGCTGCTTGTTTACGAATAGAACTTGAATTAGGAAGCAAGATAGATGTATATCGAAGCAATACCGTACAGAAGTGTTACGTTGGTCATCAATTGATATTGAATTATTTACACATCTTATACTGTAATTGCAGTTTCCATTAGTCTCCAAGTGTGGATACATTAGGAAGCTCGTCTCAGAATCTAGCGATGCTAACGTTTCCTTCATCGAACTCTCTGATGTTCCTGGTGGAGGAGAAGCATTTGAACTGGCAGCAAAATTCTGCTACGGGATAATTTTCGAAATGAACGTTGAAAACATTGCTATGCTTCGCTGCGTGGCTGAGTATCTTGAGATGACAGAGGATTATTCACTTGGAAACTTGGTGGGAAAGACTGATACTTATTTGAATGACGTGGCACTCAAGACCATTGCGGGGGCTGTGTCTATCCTACATATGTCAGAGAACCTCCTTCCAATAGCAGAGAGAACCAAATTGGTGAGTCGATGCATAGATGCCATTGCATATATGGCCTGTAAAGAAAGCCAATTCTGTTCATCTGCAAGAAGTGACAATGGCTCTGATGGAGTGACCTCTTCCATGGCATCTCACCAGAGGCCAGTAGTTGACTGGTGGGCTGAAGATCTTGCTGTCCTCAGAATTGACATTTTCCATAGAGTTCTAATCGCAATGCTGGCAAGAGGTTTTAAACAGTATGCTATTGGCCCTATTCTAATGCTCTATGCACAGAAATCTCTACGAGGTTTGGTGAGATCCCTCTCTAAATATTGGAAATATTACAAATAAATGTTTTTTTTTTTTGGATTCATTCCTTAACTCCTTTATGTTTCTCTCTCTCTTTTTTGAGGAGCAGGATATATTTGGAAAGGGAAGAAAGAAGATTGAGCCACGACAGGAGCATGAAAAGAGGGTTGTTTTAGAGACAATAGTTAGCCTTTTGCCAAGGGAAAGGAATGCAATGTCAGTAAGCTTTCTTTCTATGCTGCTTCGGGCAGCAGTATATCTTGAGACAACAGTTGCTTGCAGGCTTGATTTGGAGAAGAGGATGGCTATGCAGTTAGGACAGACTGTTTTGGATGATCTTCTCATTCCTTCCTATTCATTTACTGGGGACACATTGTTTGATGTGGATACAGTGCAGAGGATCATGGCTAATTACTTAGAATCTCAAATGGGAAACCATTTAGTCTACAATGCAGATGCTGAATACTTTTCTTCTTCACAAAGTGATAAGGAGTGGGTTGGAAAGCTAATGGAAAATTACCTTGCTGAAATAGCCACCGACCGAAATTTACCAGTTCCAAAGTTCATCAGTCTGGCTGAATTAATTCCTGAACAATCAAGGCCAACAGAAGATGGGATGTATAGAGCCATAGACATCTATCTGAAGGTGAAAACTGCAGTCCTTTCTCTGTAGCAAATTAATCATGCCACAGATTTGCACAGTTCTAATAAGATATTTTGTTTTTCTCTTATTGATACCTCTTGATTGAACAGAACAAGCACTTGCATTTCACTAACCAAGATTAAATACCTGCCTCCTATAGCACAATCTCTCGGGCTTTATCAAATTGAATTGGCTTTAGATTTAGTCTTGTCACAGTTTATTAATGCAAACTGCATTACATAATTAGTTTTGTATTAGTATTGCCATCGAATTCAAGGATTTGATTCTATCACTATCTTGATATAGAATGTTTTGCATGTGAGTTTATTATGAATTACTGCTGATGAAGTTGGAATTGACAATTCTCAGGCTCATCCTTCTCTAAGTGACATGGATAGAAAGAAAGTTTGCAGCGTGATGGACTGTCAGAAGTTATCACGAGAGGCCTGTGCACATGCTGCTCAAAATGACCGGCTTCCTGTCCAAACTGTGGTTCAAGTTCTCTATTATGAACAGCAAAGGCTTAGGGACGCCATGAATGGCAGTGGAAGTGGGGAATCTCCTTCGGCTCATACCAAGCTGAATGTATACTCCGCTGATCTTCATCCAGTTTCAAATGAGCTCTCCAGCTTACGAAGAGAAAATGAAGACTTGAAATTAGAGCTAGTGAAATTGAAAATGAAATTTAAAGAGATTGAGAATTCCACACTTAAATCAGCAGTTAACAGTCCTGTAGTAAATCCTTCACCTTCTGCTGATAAGCCACCTCTGCCTCGAAAATCATTCATAAGCTCGGTGTCCAAAAAACTTGGTAGGCTTTCTCCTTTTCTACGTGCCGATGGTGTCACACCTTTTGCCAAAGGTCGCACTAAACCAAATAAGAATCGACGCCACTCCATTTCCTAAGGCCATTGGTAGTTCCTGGTCTCCACCGGACATTGTGCAGACTACAGGTTCTTCCTTAGTTTCAGACGCTTGAAAAAACAGAACTAGTCTTTCCTAGTTTTTGCTTCATCTGTGTGATCCTCATGTAGATTATATTATCGTGATCCTTCAGTAAGAACTATATTGTAAAGGGTGGTGAAAAATAAAATATAATTCCTGAGTTAGATTGATTGCAGTCCTGCTGTTGAGTGGCAATAATTCTGTAGTGCAAGAATAATAAATTGAGTTTAACATTGATGGTCGATGGAAGAATCATCACATTTCTCCTATCAGTCGCGTAAATGTCAGTTAACAATATTAAGATACCATCATCTTCTTTCCTTGCAACAAATGAAAGCACATAAAATTATAATAACGGCCATAAACAATACATTATGTACAATCATCAGTGATCAAGGAGAAAGATAAGAATGAAAATAATTTGCATTTCTTAAGATCTTAACAATGAAACACGATCACATAGCCAAAAAAAATAATCATGAATCCAGGATTATTGGTGCAAATTGTTGAGGAGAAAAGACGTGACTTCTAGTTATTATCCTATATCAAGTGAGAGTGTAATTAGTCTTTCCTGCAATTAGAGAGAAATTGCAATTTCTTTCACTAAGCAAAACATTGTTCTATTCTTCTACTTCTATCCGTGATTCTTCCACTTGCAGTCAGAGTATTTTTTACATTAAATATGGCGTTTTAGTTTCTAATTTTCTCGACTTTATTTTAGTAGTTAGATCCTGTTTTTATAACACAATGCCAACACTACTATGACCAGGGCACTTTCATATAAACACACGGGATCGTAAGAACCACGTGGGTCAAGTTACTTCTCACAGCGATATTATGTACTCCAAAAGATAAATGGACCATAAAATCACTGGAAGTATACAAAATCTGAAAACAGTGATTAGTGGGGTCTATGTATAAATTATTGTGTCTTTTAGACACTTGGTTTCTTTTATGTTTAGTTTGTAACCTTTAGTCTATTCTCAATCAAACTATGTCAAATGTATTTATTGCTGACGTCATTTAGTTAGTTTTCTTTATATTACATTTACTTTTTACTTTTGTTCATTCTTCTGTAACTGGAACAGAACCTTCTTTGGGTTGCAATAGTGTCCATTGGGTTAAATAGTTTATGGGAAGGTAATAAGAGTTCAAGTGACAGCCTTGCAGTGTTGGTGTTGATGTGTAAAGCCTAATCATCAATGAAAAGGAGATCATGGTTTGGTTTCAATTCATGAATATTCTAAGGAATGGACTATAGTAAGTTATACATCTTTTGGGACACCTTACCTAAACTTGTTTAAAGATGTTTAAGCATTTGGAAGAGAATCTGCGATCCGTGTTTTCGGAAGCAACAATAATAATATCAGATGTCTGCTATTTGGAAATAATAAAAAGACATCACGGCGTTCAACTCTGCTCTTCCGGATTTTCAAACCATTCATAACATGGATATAGCTCATTGCAATTACTCGGAGGATATAGGATTGTGCATTCAAGTGCTGTTTGTGATGACTTGAAGAGCAAACTTCTGGAGGCCACAACACAAAGAACCTTCAACATGAGAGGTTGGTTCACCTTACCTTGTCTATGTATTTTGAATGCTTTCCTACCTTCCCAATAATTTTTTTTTTTTTGTTACATGATTTTACAATGCAATATGAAAAGAACAGCAAACTTAAAATAACATTAAGAATGAGGTCATCAAATCTAACAAAGCAAAATCAAAATACATTTAAACCAAACTCCAAGATAACCAAACATAAATTAATAAACAAACTGAAACCCATGTCATCGTCAGATTCTTCTTTCTTTTCCTCTTCCTTGGCGGCGACAGCAGCTGGGGAAGCACCGTAATCTGCAGCAGGCGTGGCAAAAACAGCTACAGCAAATTTACTTGGGTCCTGCTTTTAAAATAATTCGTATATAAGAAAGATATAAATAATGGATCAAAATTTTAGTGTCAGATCATCAAAATGTTAAATCCAATACCTTCAGGAACTCCTTAACCATGTCTGCCAGAGGGAAAGAATATTCCGTCTCAATTGCTGCAGCAAGAACGTTCTTATATGCATTGACAAACATATGCAGTGCAGCTGCAAGTGTGGCGTATGAGATGGCCAATGAAAGTGAAGTAACCATTGAGACACCAATAGCAAACTTCTTGTTAGAGAATAAAATATAAACTATTAAAAAGACCATCATCAATTGCCTTAAGGTTTTGGGTTGAAATGGTTCTTTACATGGTACCAGAGCTTCAGTGACCACAAGGTCACGAGTTCGATCCTCACCGCCCCCCACTTTCAAGTGGAATTAAATAAAAAGCACAAAAGGTAAACTAAAAATTGGGCCTGTGCAATATGCACGCTTCAAGCCCAAAGGGCTCTTGCGTGAGGGGGTGTGTTAGAGAATAATATAAATCATTAAAAAGGCCATTGGTTCTTTATACTTCTCAATGAGGTCATCCTCACTAAGATCAAGAACCTCGGGCTATATCATAAACCGAAAGGACCACAAGACCATATGAGAAGGGCCTTATGCCTAACTTGGCAAGCAACGCAGCTTCAGAAGAGCCGACCTTGTCTCCCTTCTTAATGAGTTCCACAGGGGTAATGATTTCCACAGTACCCTTGTTAATCTTAGTTGGAATGTTGAGCACTTGAAGTGTAGAGAATAAGTATAAACATGAATGACATCCACAAGAAGAAAATCCAAATTCTACAAGAATAATATTCCTGTAAAGAACCAATTCAACCCAAAACTTAAGCTTAGTGGGTGAGGGCTTCTTAATGGTTTATACTATTCTCTAAGAATTGCAAACCTGAAAGAAAGAGGTCTGACAGGGATCGAGCCAAGTGTTGCCAGGAGGAAAAACAACATCAATTGGAGCAACCAAACCAACACGAGCAGGAGCTCCAACCTGTTCAGATTAAAGACAATAATTATTCGATGAACATTCAAATAACAAGAAAAGTGAGCACATGCCAGATCAGTACTCAATTTTTTAAGCAATAAACAATTTTTTTTAACAGAATGCAGAAGGAGGATATTTACAATCAACGATAATATCAAATTCAGCCTGCAAAAACAAAATACTGCAACCAAAACATCTCATTGGTGGTGAAAGCAAAATATTGCATAATAGAAAAGTATAATTAACTAATTTAGTGCCAAAAGCCCACCAAAAGTCCTGAATAACATCCACCACCATAATAGAAAAGTCATTCACACCCATGCAGTTTCGCAGTAGGATTTCTACAATTCTACTACTTTTGTTATATTTTACCGCTGTAGCATGTTTTATTGTGGTTTGAATAAATTCTATGTCTGTGTGTCAGTGTGTGCTAATGAAAAGAAAGATTTTATTTTAAAATGGACAGTCTAAAGAAATACAGTAAGCATTTGAGGTCTAACAATGTGATGGTTGAAATATGGGGCAGTCCTCTTTCAACATTATTTATACTTTATTGAATATCTTAATTGATGTGCGTTTTTGGCTGCGACTTTCACACACGTTAGTATGTGAGGTTGATATCACAATTCTTTCAGTTATTGGTGAGTATCAGTTAGAAAGTTGGTTAGTTAGTTAGAAGTACACGTTTTTTGTTATTCAGTTTTGGTTAGTTAGTTAGAAGTAAATGTTTTCTGTTTCTGTTAAGTTCACACTATATATATGATGTGAACAGTGTAACTTAATTGATTGGATTCATTACCACTGAAATAAAAACATACACTTTCATGTTCTCTGTCTGCAACTGTAACATGGTATCAGAGCTCTACGCAGAGCTTTGATCGCCATTTTCGTTTTTCATTTTTCTTCGATTCGTTTCTTAATCGTGGAGTGTTTTTACCTTTGTTATTCTCTGGAGTTTAGCAGACCGTGATTCAAACTTGAGCACAACCTCAAGAAATGCACCAAACGCTTTTGACGCTTCGGACACAGGTAGTCCTTATTTTTTGCATCCTAATGAGAATCCTTCTCTTGTGTTAGTATCAACACTCATGAATGGGAAGAACTACCATGGCTGGGCAAGAGCCATGAAAATGGCCTTAATTTCGAAAAACAAGCTTTCCTTTGTGAACGGAGCAATATCCGTACCAGATCCAACAGATCAGAGGTATGCAGCATGGGAGAGATGCAACACCATGGTCCTCTCATGGCTGCATCGATCAATAACAAATTCTATTTCTCAGTCGATATTATGGATGGAGAGAGCTTGTGACGTCTGGAATGATCTTAAAGAGAGATTTTCTCAATCAGGCGTGTTTAGGATCTCTGATTTACAAGATGACCTGTATAGATTACAGCAAGGTGATAGTACTGTTTCTGATTACTACACCAAGCTTAAGATACTGTGGGATGAACTAGAGGATTTGCAGCCAACACCAACGTGCAGGTGTGTGCGTCCTTGCTATTCAATTTCAACAGAGGTTAAAAAGATTCGAGAAAGGGATTATTCAATTCGTTTTCTGAAAGGATTGAGTGATCAGTTTTCAAATGTGAGGTCTCAAATAATGTTAATGGACCCACTGCCACCAGTCAACAAAGTTTTTTCTATGGTCATGCAACAAGAAAGGCAACTAAAGATAGAAGAAGGTGCTGTCAATCAAGACATACATAGGTCATTCTACAATTCTGTGGAACAGACTCAAGGAAGAGGACGTTCTTATCCACGAGGGAGAAGACGTGATTTCTTCAATGGTAGAGGAAGATCAGGTCCATCACGACTTTGTACTTACTGTGGGAAAACAAGTCACACAATTGACACATGTTTTGAAAAACATGGGTTTCCTCCTGGTTTCAAACAAAGAGGATTCATACACAAGGCTGATGATGTCTTCACACACAAGGCAAATGCAGTAGGTGCAGGTACTGATGAAATGCAAAATACCGTTGAGAGGATTAACAACTCTTCACAAGCTGATGTGAAGGACAATTTTACAAAGGAACAGTACAAGACAATCCTTGAGATGACTCAACAGACAATGCAGAGCCCACATGCAAGTAACATGGTCCAAGCTAGGGCCCTTAATGCAGAAAGCACAGAGACCTCATCAGGTATTCCTAATCCTCAATGGATTTTAGACACAGGGGCCACGGATCACATTGCTTGCTCTTGTGCAAATATGTGTAATATTCAGCAAATTAAGCCTATTGCAATCTTTCTACCTAATGGAAGTCAAGTATTTGCCTATCTTTCTGGAACAGTAGTATTTTCAACCTCTCTCACATTAACAAATTTGTTGTATGTCAAGGAATTCACAGTGAATTTAATATCAGTAAATAAACTGACGAAG